CGACGACCTCGCGCAGGGCGATGCTGTGATCGGCGTTGAAGGCTGGGAATCGGTGCTCCTCAAACGATACTCATGTGACAACCCGTCCATGCTGTTTTAGAAGCGATGTCATCAACAATTTCATTTTTGGATATATCAGTGAGCTACGATCGACTTTTCGCCTACGGGTTGGTACGGGACCTAGCAAACTGGGGAAAACGAAAACGACGACTCTTGACTCGCAACCAAGTTGTCCTTTCCCCCGAGCAAGCAAATGTCTTCTTCCGACATTGGAGCTCCAAGTGTCACTGTAATGCGGCAAGTGGGACTAGACTCGTTGCCGCTGAACACCTCGTCGTCAAAAGCATGGGCATTCGGGTCTCAAGAGCCCAAAAGATAGTCCAAAGGCGCGAGACGTGGGTCCTTCGTGTAGGTGCGCTTCAAGATATTCACCTCTTTTCGAGTAATGCTCGTCATGGTCGGTGCCCTTGCAACCAGCACGCGTATACGCTTGACTTCGATGGACTTGGCCTTTTTCACTCGATGGTCCGGAGCGGGGTTTGTTGACACATGTGTCCGAGCGCGGTCGCGCATGATCTCGGCAGCTAGAGTGGCTTCAGCGGGGTACACGATTGCTGCTACATAAAGTGCACTGTTCGTCATCGATCAAGAATATTGCTTATGCCGTCACGAATTGCCTGCGCTGTGACAGCTAGAGAAATCAGCATAGCTGGTCTCCAGTCCACGATGCGTTACATCTGAGGGATGATGGCTCAGATATCTGCGCTTTCGAAGTTCGCGTATGTACTTGGCCAATCTTGCCAGCTTTTGTTGTACGGAATCGCCTGAGCTAGGAGGCAACACATCATACATTGGAAGCCATATCTGCAATATACCTTGGTTGTCGTTGATCTTGACATGCCTTTCGCTCTGATGTGTTTCGCGGACGTCGAAGACCTGCATCGCGAAGGTCATGCATCCTCCTTCTCAGTCAACTGTCCAGCCTTCTACGCCTTTGGGAGCATTCTCTATGGGTTGGACACCGAGAAGGTGGTTAGCGCTTGCCAGCGAGGCTTCGGGATGCTGCAACATCGCCGCCGTCTCTCGATGTTTTACGGTTCTTGCCGACTTGCGGATCTCGCGCTTCAATTAGGCGTCCTGAAACGGAAGGATCTCCGCCATGGACTTTCTTCCTCATTCTGCGTGCTTGCTCATCGGGCCCAGGATCGACGGAGCGTCTCGCCATGGCCACTGGTCAGCAGGCCTTCGAATACGTCCACAATCGGTATTTTGCTCCATGGCTTCCAAGTTCGCATCATCTTCGTTGTTACAAACGACGTAGATACTAGCAATCTCCTTCTTCATTCGTTCACCGGGCCGTGGTTGCGAAGGCGGCGGCGTGGGGCTCATCTTGCTTCTCTGTCGCCGTCCTACAACGCTTGCGGCCGCGGGTGAGGCCCATACCTGAAGTCGTTGTTACCTGAATCAAGTAGCACGCTCAACGCTCGCTGATTCTGCTTTTGAGCCTGGTGAAGGCTATCAACGCGTCCGCCAAAGACGGAACAGCATGTTGAGGTCAGTGTTGAGATACCTCCTACCAATATGCGTCTGAACCAATGGTGCAGAACTGCCTCACTGAAATGGCAGCAAACAGAAACCGTGGTCAAGTATGAGCCAGAACCAAGTGAATTAGCTTGATACCGTGGATGCATTTTACCACTTGTACGCAATAAAGAGCCCAAAGAGGAAACCGGGCATTGACGGCACGTCGGGCAGCTTCAAATGAATTCTGTGCGTCTCGGGATTGAACCACGAATGAACTTTGTCCCAGTTGATGACTACGAGGCCGTCGTTTGCGCACCAGAAGTCGTTGAGCTTGCGATAGAGCTCCGACTGGCGGAGCTTGGAGAACAGCGCAACCCATTGTACAACGACGACGTCTTGGCTGTATACCGTGCGCAATAAAACGCATGCGAGACCGCGCAGAGCGTGCGAAGTATGAAGCCAATTAATTATGTAACCCCCAAGGGCAGACCTGGCGAAGCCGTGCTTGTGCTTCTTGCGATTGCAGCGACATCCATCGTGCGGACGATCGTCGTTGGGACTGGTGGTCGCACGGTTCGAGTCGGATGTTGCTGTGCTGGGAGGCAAGGCAGTGCACATCGTAAAGTGAAGCTGTGATAGTCATGAAAGAGGGTAGGTCGGAATGACAATCAATCTTCGTCTATCACTCCGAAAAATCCACGGCCAACGAGACTTCCTGTTGAGACTTGCCTGCCCGCAGAAAGCGTGCTTATTCCGCTGGACGATTGACCAAATACGAAAGATTACTCGATAGCTAAGGAACTCCTTCCGGTGCGTGGTCGTTGGTTCTTGCGTGCGAGCTGTGGAACGAGGTTTGTGGCCGCCTTGCTGAAAGCACGACCGCGGATTGTCGTTCTTCTTCGAAGGCACAGCGCCGCACCCCACCATCTTTAAAAGTAAAGAACGTGTTTGTAATTAACGCCCAAAGTATACATGTCAGTACTATGCATTGGTCGGCCACGCGGGCCATTGTGACGTTGTCATGCGTAAAGCGGCACTTAAGCAAAATCGCTGGACGGGCTGTTGCACGTGTACGACTTCAAAAGCACCTTCTCCCAGCCCTCGACACCAATGACGCAATCGTTGCGGGCCAGATCGTCAATGATTTGGCGGCACGGCGGCTTGACGACAGCACGGAAGTTCTCCTTGAACGTGTCGGAGTAGTCGAAGACACCACCGAGGCATTCGTTGTAGTAGACGCACAGCATCATCTGCACTTGGTTGTTGACGTCGCTCGGATCCTTGTAGTTCTTTGACGCGAGTGCCGTCGCTTCGGCCATCCAATTGGCTTGCTTCGCGACACACTGTTTCGTGTCGCCCGACATGCCATACACGGGCGCTTGCGATGGGTAGCCCGTGCTCTCCTCAGCAAGCAAGAGACTGGTCGCCTTGAAACGGTAGCACTGGGTGTTCATGCCCGCGAGTGTCGTGCCTTCGAACGTGTACTGGTACTGGTGCTTGTCGATGCGGAGCGTATCCGCATAACCGATGTACTGTCGCGGCAGGTCCTTGAAGTAGGTGTAGAGCGGGTTGTTGTCAAGCTTCCACACCGATGTCATTCGCCCGTCTACAACAATACGCTCGTCACTCCCTGGCCACGGCTGAATTGGGCCTACTTTTCCCCGAAACTTGCATCATGATGTCGTCCGAGGGCGAGATTGTCTTGCCAACGTAGTTGCGGCAAGACGACCACGTCCGAGAATCTCTCGTCGGGTCTTTGATCGCCGCCTTGCGCACGACGCAATCGTAGTAGATGGTGTGCATCGCATCGACCATGGCCTAGCGCTCACGTCAACTATGCGCACAATATTCATCGTTGCATACGTGATGGGCGTAGAAGACGGGGTCGGCGGGCGACGCAAACGTGCCCATGACCGAGCTGAGGAAGCCATGCACATTGTCTACACAGCCCGTTAGCCGGCCATGGTTCGATACATCCGTACTGTGTGCGCCGTATTGGATGCCGGACGAGGCCGTAGCGAGTGTCGGGTTTCCGTTGCCCAGAATACTGTTGTACATGCTCAGGAGGCTCACCTCCGGCGGGACGGCAACCTTCGACCAGTCGTTGCGGGGCATGCAACCGATGCACTTCTTCGCGTTGAACGCCGCCGTGCTCTCGCAAAAGTTTTGGGTCATACGCGACGAGACGCAGTTGTCCGACTGGAAAGAAACTCCGCTCACCGCGTACGTGCGTGCACCGTTTCTGCCTACTCAGTTCATGGGATGAGGATCACGGAGAAATAGTTCTGTTACCTCGGGGTAGCGAGCCGCCAAAGTCCTTGAGGAGATCGCTGCAGTCGAGCATACTGCGGCACTGCCGGCCGGCAAAGTTGGCGCCGAGCCGCGGGTAGTCCCAAAATGGAATCGTCACGCAAGCAAACTGCGTACCGAGCGACCGCAACATGTTTTCGTACGCGAGTAAGAACGCGCGGTGCCAGTAGATGAACATGCACGCGTGGGCTTCGCGCTCGGACGGGGGGTCCATGTGGATCTCGACGAAGCGTTGATGCAGCCCGTTCTTCATGGCCAAGCTCACAGCGTCGATGTACGTGTCCTTCTCGGTCTGCGAAAACGTGCTCCAGGCCTTGCGCACACGCGGATTAGGGCACTTGACCGTCGATTGGCCCGCAACGAAGGCCACAAGTGCGAGAAGAGGCCACAGATACAGCAGACGCATGTCGCTCGCGGCGTCAATTTCAATATGCTCATGGACGAAAACGAGGTGGCACAGAAGCTCGAAATCGAAGACAAGCCGACGGTTGGCAGCAGCGACCGCATGATATGCTTCCGTGGAACAACCGCCACCAACGTTGGGTTTCCGTGGCTACGGCCCTGGCTCGAAGAGCAAGTTGCAGCAAGGACGACGGAGGCTGCTTCATTTTTTCAATTTATGCAGTGTACGTACTCCCATTAGATCCAAGTGGATCCGTGTGATGCATACTTATGACGTGATGCATGCTTGCCAAGGGATTGTGCCTCATTCAGTGGACACGATAGAGCATATCAACACGGCGCTTTCTACCAGTCTGTTCGTGCCCCGTATACTTAAGTTATTGGCACCAACAATCGTTCGGTGCCTAAAAGAACATGCTCATACACCGTTAACGTTAGCGGTATTGTGACAGGTGGTCATTGATGCCAACGGTGATGGGCAGGTCCATCCTTTCAGTGTCATGCCTCGTCTACGGCTCAACTGTTGCACGAAGTGTTCACCGTGTAACCCGCAGTGCAATCACCAAGGGCGACAACCACCAAGGCAATTTACACTAATCACAACTCCTTTCGCGTACCCACAGAATAATACATGTTCCCACAAAGGGCTTTGCCCAAAACGCACATCAAGAACTTTTGCCCGAGTTCACGCGCGGTGGTGGATTGCATTTTATGCTGGTACTAGCACCGGGAGAGCTATCGGCAGCAAAACCAAGGTGACGCTTTTCTCTTGGGTCTACTTGAAGTGCTAGAAGTGCTAGGGATGGCGCTCCAATGCATACAAACAGCATTTGCGTTTGAAATTGGGTGCGGTGCAGCCCCACCCCTCGGACACAAAAACAATACTACTTCAAGAAGCAGGATGTCCTGCTTCATGTGGTCGTATCGCTACGTATTGGCCCGAGAAGACAGTTCAATTGGATTTGAATGTTCGCTCTGAGGACACATGCCGATGACCGGAGACGAGATGCTTTAGGATAGTTACCTCTGATGTACGTTAAATCGTTCTATGAGAGTCCTAAAAGCCCTTGTTCCTGCATCTACCGAGATATTCCATGATCCCAGCGGCTTGTATTCTCGAACGATCGTTCGAGTGTTGCTCCAAACCTTCACTTCGTTTCTATCCCTCAATACAAATATCAAGTATGCCGACATAACGACCAAAGAAACCTAATTGCATCACGTCCTGCACCTCACTGTCGTGCCTGCTTTTGCCTCGGAGCCACATCTTTTCGACGAATCAAAAGTGCCCATTGGTTAGATTACAGCCAATCGTCGATGCGAGTGTGACAAAGCATGGGGTGCATTCACAAAATGACGCTGATGTGTAAACAGCCAGTGGGTGTCGATTTCGGCAGCGAGGACTTATCCGAATTCTATATGAGCCCCAAACAACATGCTTTCCAACGCATGCCTCTGTTTGGCAAGGTGCCGGTACACTCTAGCATTCAAGCCATAAAGCAGAGTTTGGCTTTCTGCCACCCGACCGCAACAAGCAACTTTTCTTTCATTACCAAGCTTCTCAGTTGGCAAAGCTCGCTTGCTCATTTTCATCCCGTTATAACGAACAGAAACAAAGACTGTGGAGTCTTTATCGTCACGAGGGCCAGTCCATAAAGTATTCCCGGGATGCAGCTACTGGCGAGTATAGCCCCTAGCACAATGCCGTGTAAATACTTGCGGAGAATCACTGGCCAATACAAGTTTCCAATTTGAATATGCTGGTAAGCAAGCTCGTACTATCAGCAATCGGCAGGATCCCTGTTAGTTTAGGGATTTCCGCTGTTCCCAAATGTCCGAATTTCGCTGGGAGAATTCGAAGGCGGATCCGGATAGCTATATCCGGTACTCGACTAAGATTGGGCGTGTGGTCGGCATTTGCACTTTTGCGTTGCCAACCTCAGTTGAACATGCTCGCCCGCTCGATCTCCGCCCGCTTCTTCAGCGCTGCCGCTGCCGGCAAGAAGGTACCATTGGTGGACGATGGACATGGAACTCATCTCGGATTGCGTAGGTTGCCGTCCTCGGCGCCGCCGGTGGCATTGGCCAGCCCATGAGCTTGTTGCTCAAGGTACGCATGCTAACTGTGAAGCTACGTACGCTGACATAGCAATGATAGGACTCGGACCACATCTCGCACTTGTCGCTTTTTGATGTCGTCAACACGCCTGGTGTGGCCGCTGATGTCTCGCACTGCAACACGCGCGCTACGGTCACGGGCGTCGCCGGCATGGAGAACATCGAGGAGGCGCTCACGGGCATGGACGTCGTCGTCATCCCCGCTGGTGTCCCGCGCAAGCCCGGCATGACGCGTGACGACTTGTTCAACACCAACGCGTCGATCGTCCAGTCGTTGGCGTCTGCGTGCGCCAAGTACTGCCCGGAGGCCATGATGCTCATCATCGCCAACCCGGTCAACTCGACGGTCCCGATTGTCGCCGAGACGTTCAAGAAGGCGGGTGTCTACAACCCCAAGCGCCTTTTCGGTGTGACCACGTTGGACGTTGTCCGCGCCAACACGTTCGTCGGCCAGTCGCAGGGCTGGAACCCGCGCACGACCAACGTCACGGTCATCGGCGGCCACGCCGGCACCACCATCTTGCCGCTCCTCTCGCACCTCAAGCTCGACCGCCAGTGGTCGGACGATGAGCTCCATGCCTTGATCAAGCGCATTCAGTTCGGCGGTGATGAGGTTGTCCAGGCCAAGAACGGCGCTGGCTCGGCCACGCTCTCCATGGCGTACGCGGGTGCTCGCTTCACGACGTATGCCTCTTTAGTACATGGCAACACGAACACTAATGGTGGCTTCATCTAGGCGCCTCTTGGACGCCATGACCGGCGCCAAGGATGTCGTCGAGTGCTCGTACACGCAGAACGACGTCACGAGCCTCCCGTTCTTCTCGACGCCCGTCACGCTCGGCCCCAACGGTGTCGAGAAGGTGCACCACTTTGGCACGTTGAACGCTGTTGAGCAGGCCAACTTCGACGCCATGTTGCCTGGTACGTTGCGTGCCTTTAATCGAGGGACACTGACTAAAATGTGCTGCTTTTGTAGACTTGGAGAAGCAGATCGCCAAGGGTGTCTCGTTCGTCAACAAGAACTAAGCGACTTGAATACACGAGACCTTTGCCTTGATCCATAAATGAGTGGCGAAGTGAACTGCCGAGCTCAACCTTCTGCAGCCGATTCTACTCGAGGAGGCGCTGCGCTTCTGGACGGTATACACACAGCGCCGTTGTGCTGCTTAAAATCGGTGTTGTTTTGTGAAACTGTGAGACCGCCATTTCAGCGTTTCCCGTTTTAGCCGCAAGAGCAAACAGCGGCAGCCATCCTTGCACCGATGGCGAGCCCGGCGACGGTCGAGCAAGATGTCCTGGCTGTCGACATTGGTAGCATTGACATGAGTACCGTGACTGGACTCCAGACGACCGCGACGACGAGTCGCCTTCCGCTGGCGATGGGGCCTCGCCGCGTACTAGTACCAGACTTTGGACGGACGAGCCTGCGTCGGCGCAGTGGCGAGGCCTCGGCCCACGTGAGCCGCCGCATATCCGAAATTGCACGGCAGGCCGGTTCGCTCGGGCGCAGTGCGTTTACGCTCCGGCGCATCTCGATGGTGTCGTCGACGGACCTCAAGATCGACGCCCTCACGTCACGCGAGGTTGCGACGACATACGTGCTGTTCCACCTCGCGCTTGCGCTCGGGATGCTTCTTAGTCTCACAACTGTGCTCTTCTGGCTCAACTCGGACAACAGCGCGAGTGTCGCCGCCGCGGGCGAAGGGCTCTGGTTCGTCATCAGCATCGGCCACTACGCGAGCTATGTCTTCATCTCGGTTGCTTGCGGTGTCTTTGCGCGCCGTATTTACGTCCTTCCCGCGCGCCAGCCCGTTCAGGAGACAATGGCGTACATTGCAAGCACGTATGGCGTCATCACGCTTGGCGAGTTCATCGTAGAAGCATCACTCTCTGTGCGCGCCGGCCACGTGTGGAGCACGTGCCACGGCAGTGGCGACGTCGAGCCCGTGAGCTTGGTCGTTCGCAACGTCCTCAACGCCATCCAGGCTACGGTCTTCTACGTTGTGCTCACAAAGGTCTGCAGCTGCTTCCGCGTGAGCGAGGCCACGCACCACGCAACCCGAGTCACAGACATTGGAACATCGGCCACCATGTTCCTCGTCTACATCGGGCTCCGTGTCTACCTCGGCGTGGTCAACGGCATCATCCTGGACTACGTGCCCATGACCAACGCCATCACGACAATTCGGCTCCGGTACTTGGAGGAAGGCAGCGCGACCGTGACACCACCGCTCCGCGTCGTGACAGCAACCTTGGTCGTGACAGCGTGCGACGTTGGCTTCTCGCTCTGGGCGTGGGCCGAGATTGCAGCCGTGCGCCGGTCGTTCCGCGAGACTTTCGTGCGCAACCTCTCCAAGCTCCTCATCGCTTTCAACTTTTTCATGTACTACAACGCACAGATGATCTTGGTACTCGTCCTGAGCGGCCACCTCGTCGCATGGCTCCTCCCCATCAACTACTACAGCGCCGACGGTACTGCGCTTCGCTGCACGGGCAGCCTCGCCGTCACGTTCGGACTCAAGCTCACCATCGCAGGCTGGCTCGTCACGGCCATGTGAGATGCTCTTTCCAATCGTTGTGCTTGGATTGAAGTGGTGTGATAGGTACGCCTGCCTGCCGACGGACGCCGTCGGTCTTCGCGGTTGGTTTGTATCGTCGCCCAACGCGCTCGCGGCCCCGACGCACCGCATTCGGTACTTTTGCCACGCCTCGGACGTGCACCAAACCGCCAACTTTCGCCTCGTCGACATGCTCCAGAACACGCTCGTGATCGAGCCGCGCCATTTTGTGCTGGAGGACCAGATCGAGATGTTCAATTTTGCATACCTTGCGTACGCGTGTGGCAACAAGGACTACTCGCAGGACTTTCTGCATCTCCACAGGATGATTGGCAGCGCCGAGTTTGCGCTGGCAGACCACCTCCACGACCCGAAGAGCGACACGCACTGCCTCATTGCGCACTCGACCGACAAGATCATCGTCGCCTTCCGCGGCTCGATGAGCTGGAAAAACTACAAGACGGACCTCAATGCCTCCAAGCACATGTGTGTCGACTACAACTTGCTTCCGGCCGCGAGCGACGACAAGAGGCCGCGCTTCGTGCCACACAACATCTCTCGCCCCAACTTTTGCAAAGCTAAGACGCCGTGGGTCCACGGTGGCTTTTGGGACGCGTACCAATCCGTAGCCGACCGCGTCCTCGCTCGCCTCGAAACAATGAACGAAGAAAACCCGCGCAGCATGTACTTTACCGGTCATAGTCTTGGCGGTGCGCTCGCCACGCTCTGCAGTCTCGACGTGGCCTTCAAGTACGGTGCGTCGCGCGTCGCGTGCACAACCTTTGGGTGTCCGCGCGTCGGCGGCAATGCGTACAAGCGCGTCTACAACGCCCGTGTACCGGCCAACTTTCGCTTCGTGAACGCCCAGGACCCCGTGTGCCACACGCCGGTGCATTTTATTATCCATTATGATGAGCTCTCACAGTAATGTAGCTGCGGACACTGTGGGACTCGTTCACTGAAGTCGGCACGACCGTCGTCCTCGATCGGCTTGGGAACCTGGTTGTGGACCCAAACCTGCTCGAGTACGACTTACTGAACCGCGGCATTTCGGGCGATGCGCACCGCCTCACGTCGTACCAAATGGCGCTCTTTCTGTGGTGCAAACGAGCCCACCCGCGGCGGTTCGAGCCCAAGTTCTGGTCGCACTCGCTCCAGAAGCTGCGCGAACACCACGGCCACGTGCCCGAGGTGCTGCACTACCTGCACAAGCGATCGCTCTTTGTACGCACAGCCAATGACGCCGACGACGACCGAGTCTTGACGGAAATCACGACGACTGTGCTCCCCACGCGCAAGACGCTCGGGCTGTTCCAGCGCCCCGTGATTTGCTTTGCGACGAACGACACGATCGAGGCCCTTGTCGCCGCGCACCTCGTGCCCTCCGAAGCCGACGCCGTCGAGGTCGGCCGCGTCCTGCTTGTGAAAGGCGCTATCCACATGGTCGACGACCCCCAAGTGTTTCGGCACGATGCGTACTTTACGATTGTCAAGCGGCCAGCGAAAGTGGCCCCCGCCGAGAGTCGCTCGACAATGCCAGAGAAAACGACCGTGTCCTCCAACGATGCATGAGAGATGAAGTATCAAACTATCAACGGTTGTCGCTCCTTCGTCAAACCAAGAACAGGCCAGTGTATAAAACAGTGCTCAAACACTGTTTGGACAACAAACGGGCGTTTTCTGGCCCCGTTAATGATTGGTCAAAATAAAGGAATATCCGCGAATCCAATACCCGCGACGAATTTTAATAGTGGGTACCGCCGAAAGTCTTTTAAAATGTATTGCTGCGCGAGGGGCTCGCAATTAAATACGAGCGGTTTCCGGCGCGAATAAAAAACCCGAGCTTGGCGCGAAGCCCATTTGCGGAGTTTGTGGTTTTGCCAAGCATGTCCCGACGGTCCGCGCGCAGCTCCGCGGGTGGCAGCCGCAGCCAGGCGCTGAGCGAGATCCGCCGCCTGCGCGACGCCGTCGTTGGCGACGACGAAGACAAGAAGGTCCGGCGCATCGACACGTACAACGCGGCCGAGTCCAGCATCTACCAGGAGGTGACCGAGGAAGAGTACAACGAGCTGGTCCGGAAGCGCCGCGAAGAGCTGCCCTTTGTCGAGGACGATGAAGGTGGCATGGGCTACTATGACGACGGCGAGGAGCAGTACTTTGACGCCGACCCTGACGGCGACGAAGAGATGGTCGACGACGCCGACACGGACGTCTCCGGCAAGAAGCGCCCCAACACGGGCGCCCTCTCGAGCGCCTATGTGAAGCGCGCCAAAAAGATTCAACGCGCAAAACTCGGCGCTGGTGACCAAAAGATCACGAGCATGTTCTTCTCCAAGCCAGGAGGCGCCCCAGAGGTCAAGGCTGCGTCCAAGCCTAAGCACGTCAAGCGCGGTAGCGAATTATGCATTCTTCGCTGTCGGCTTAGTATTCATCTTGTGTAGATATTGATCTCGATAGCATGCTCGATGACCTGACGAGCAACCCCATGGAGAAGACGCTGCCGCGGTCTGTCCGCACATTCCCCACCGCACCAACGCCATTCGCACGCCCGGCAAAGCCTGCGACTCGCAGTCCTGCATTTTCCGCGCCTACGTCGCATGCGCGAAGCAAACCAAATGACGCGGTCAACGAGCATGACGACAACCTCGATGCGTTCGATGACACTGGATACGATTACGACGGTGGCGACAACGACTCGATCGGTGAAGAGGAGCCCATGTCGAGCGAGCCCGCGCTGGCACCTATTGTCGAAGACGAAGTCGTCGCCGAGGTTTTCAACGAAGCACCTCTCCCAGAGCGCAGCTTGACGAAGCGCGAGATGCTCCTGAAGAAGGTGGAAAACATCCAAACAATCAAAATCTCATGTGCGATCTAGGCCCGCGAGAACCGTATTGAAGCGTCCGTTGGTGCCGCAAAAGCCATGGTCAAGCAAGAACCCGAACCTCTCGTCGAGGCCCCGGCCGCGCCAGTTCCGGCCATCGATCTTGCAGTGCCTTCAAACGAAGTCAACGAGTGGTGGAGTCGCAGCGATGCACCTGACACGGTGGATGTCACGGAAGCCAACGCCTCGAATTCCCATCTCGAGGCTGCAACGGACGAGCTTCACATGTTTTGGATCGACGTCGTGGAAGTCCGTGACCGCCCTGGAAAGCTCTACGTCATCGGCAAGGTAGGCACTTGGATTCGCCATCAAAAGCAAGAGTTTGAACGTGTGACGATAGACCAAGGATGGTGATGCGCTCAAGAGCTGCTGCGTCGTCGTCAACAACCTCCAACGCTACCTCTACGTCGTGCCCAAGGTCCCGGACAACCTCAAGAGCTCGTACCCGACGATGGCAGACCTACCGAAAGACGAGCAACAGGCGCTTTGGATGACGATGCATCGCGAAATCAGCGCGCTCCTCATGCCGTCCATCATCAAAGAGCGCAAGGACCAGCAAGAGTTCCGCACCAAGCTCGTCGAGCGCAGGTGCGTCTACACGATTCATTTGCAAATCTGAATCACAAGTAGCTATGCATTTGAGCTTCCGGACGTACCTCGGGGCAAGAATGTTTACCTCAAAGTCAAGTACCCGGCCAAGTACGGAGTGCCATCGCCGGACGTATGCCAGAAGGGTGGGTCGTCGTTCTCGCGCATCATTGGTGCCACCGTGCGTCCACTCGAGACGTTCCTCATCCGCCGAAAGCTCCTCGGGCCCTCGTGGGTGCGTGTCGCGGGTGCGCAACGGGTCGTCCAGAACCAAAATAGCTACTGCAAGGTCGAATATGAAGCCCCGAGCCCTTGCGCCATCTCGACGCTCATGGGGCTGCCGGCGCCGCCGCTCACCGTCATGAGTCTCAGTTTGAAGACGTGCTGCAACCCGCACTCGCACAAGCACGAGGTTGTCGCGTTCTCTGCCATCACGGAGAGCAACGTAAACCCGGAGGGCACAGTCACGAAGAAGAGCCAAATCTCGCACTTCTCTGGCATTCGCCCGTTCATGAGCGACAAGTTCCCGGACGGCTACGCCCAGGCTGCGCAGAAGAACGAACGATTCCGCGCGCCGCAGTGCTTAAGCCTCGAGATGAGCGAAAAGGCGCTTCTCAGCTTCTTCCTCGCGCGAGTCCAGCGGGAGGACCCGGATCTGATCGTGGGCCACAACTTGCACGGGTATACGCTTGACGTTTTGCTCTCACGCATGGACAACTACAAGCTCGGAGGGTCGTGGTCGCGCCTCACGCGGCTTCGGCGCGGGATGCTCATGCCCATGAACGCTGGCGAGGGCTGGAACGAGTACCGTCTTGATGACATGTCCAATGGGCGGCTATTTTGCGACACGTTCGTCGCTGCCAAGGAGCTTTTGACGTCGCAATCGACCTACTCGCTCACACACCTTGTCGCGACGCAGCTTCAGAAGACCCGGGTTGAAGTCGAGATGACTGACCTGCCGTCGATCCTCACGTCGAGCGCTGAGAACTTTGTCAAGCTGCTGCAACACACACTCGATGACGCCATGTTTGTGCTGCAGCTCATGCACAAACTTGAGGTGCTCCCGCTCTCTAAGCAGCTTGCGAACCTCTGCGGGTACCTCTGGAGCCGAACGCTGATGGCCAACAAGCGCGCTGAGCGCATCGAATACCTCCTCTTGCACGAATTTGACGTCTCGAAGCACAAGTTCATCGTGCCGGAAAAGTTCAAGGCCGAGAACAAGGCCAAGTCCAAGAAGCGTCGCGAGGCTGCGGGGTACGCGGGCGGCATGGTCTTTGCGCCGAAGAAGGGTCTGTACGACAACTTTGTCGTGCTCCTCGATTTCAACTCGCTCTATCCGAGCATCATCCGCGAGTACAACATTTGTTTCACGACCGTTGAGCGCAACTTGCTCGAGGCATCAGCCCCGCTCCCCGCCGAGCTCCACGCAGAAGAAAACGAGGACGGCGTTGAGGAGGTTGTGATGCCGAGTCACGGCGACGTGCCAGAGCTTCCGAGCGCGACGGCGGTGGAAGGCGTCTTGCCGCAGGTCATCAAGCGGCTCCTAGAGTCGCGCAAGCAGGTCAAGAACCAACTCAAGGCCGAGGAAGCCGCGGGGCAGGTCGAGAAGGCCAAGCGCCTCGACATCCGCCAGCGCGCCATCAAGCTGACTGCCAACTCGATGTATGGTTGTCTCGGCTTTCGCTACTCGCGCTTCTACGCCAAACCGATTGCAGCGCTCATCACATCGACCGGTCGGCAGACACTTTTACGCGCGCAAGAGGTCGCGGAGCAAGAGTGCGGCTACGACGTCATTTATGGCGACACGGACTCGATCATGGTCGACTCCCGCAGTGACAAGCTCGAAGACGCCAAGCGTATTGGTCGCGAGATCCAGGTTCAGTGCAACAAGCACTTCAAGCTGCTCGAGCTCGAAGTCGACTACATCTTCAAGACGATCCTGCTTCTCAACAAGAAAAAGTATGCTTCGCTCGTCGTGAAGGAGCGCAACGGGCTCGTCGTACGAAAAACCTCTTGTGACACTATACGCTCATGTGCGCATACGTAGACGTTTGAGAAGGAGGTCAAGGGCCTTGACCTGGTGCGCCGAGACTGGTGCGTGCTCTCCAAGGGCGTCGGTAACGACATCCTCGACGTCATTCTCTCGGGACTCGCGCGCGATGAGACTGTCGAAAAGATCCACGACTATCTCCGCGATCTCGCCGAGAGAATGCGTGCAGGCAATGAGCCGCTTGAGCAGTATGTCATCACCAAAAGTCTCAACAAGCCGCCAGAGCAGTACCCAGACAAGGCCAAGCAGGTGCGTAGAACGAGGTTGATTGGTTTCTTACGTCCATCCAGTATCATGTGCAAGTGGCATTGGCGCTGCGCAGTCAAGGCAAGGCCATCGGTGTCGGGACGCACATCCCGTATGTGCTCTGCAAGGAAGAAGAGTCGGGAAGCCAGCGCCGCGCATACCATCCAGATGAGATCAAGCGCTCGCAGGGCAAACTCAATGTCGACATTGAGTGGTACCTCGAAGCCCAGGTATTTTCAAGCCCATGGCGTCGGTTTATTTATGGATGGTGTAGATCCACCCGCCCGTGAACCGTCTCTGCGCACACATTGACGGCACCTCGAGTCCGCAGCTGGCCCACTGCCTCGGCTTGGACACGAGCAAGTTCTCGCATGCCGCGCGCAACGTCGGCGATGATGAGGTCGACGAGATTCCAAGCGTCCTCCAGCACGACTCTGATCGCTTCAAGGCCTGCGCACCGCGTTCGTTTTCGTCCACTTGAATTGTCTTGGCTGACGTTTTTCTAGTCCGCCTGACGTGTGCGAAATGCAAGGAAGCTTGTGCATTTCCAGGCATCTTGGTCGCGCGCGCCGATGGTGGCACAGTGACGGGGCTGCAATGTCCGAGTTGCAGCGCCGCTTTCTGGGGCTACGAAGGCAACGATGGCGAAGACCTTTTTGTGCTGCTGTCCAACCGCATGCACCTGGCGATCCGCGAGTGCTCAAAACGCTACTACCAGGGTTGGGCCGTTTGCACCGACGGCTCATGTGGGGCACGGACGCAGAAGCAGTCGCTGCGTGGACGCAAGGGTGATGCCTGCGCGATGCCTGGATGCCGCGGCGCCGTCGTCATGGAGTACACGGACCAAGCGCTTTACACACAGCTCAAGTACTTTGAGTCGCTCGTGAACGCAGACCGCGCCCTGGGTCAGCTCGAGCCGTCGCGCCAGGTAGACGCATTAATGTCTCTATGAGCGTTGGAGCCAACAGGTTACTATTATATAGGATGCCAAGTTTCTCATTCAGGACCAGGAAAAAGCCATTTTCGACAAGCTACGCACACAGATTCAAGATGTTGATGAGAGCGTATGCGTGGGCTCATCATTGATGACGTCTTTGTTAGGTTATCGAGCACAACGACTACAACTGGGTGCAGCCGACGATGTGGACGAGCCTCTTTTCGTGAGCTTCGAACAAATGATTCATTTTCTTCGCCAACATAATACATACACTTTCTGTGGGTTTCAAGTTGGGTACTGTGCAACGGTGTGGAGTCTTGAATGCTATCGTGTTGGACCCAACGCTCAAGTGCTTACTCGAGAACGAAAAGTCGGACGGTGTTAAGGGGCTTCTGACTACGTTGAAGGCTTTCCCAAGGCACCATAAATTCAATCGATGTGGCCTATATTGAATTTATGTTGCCTACCACCATGGGTCAATAATAAAGATTGACCCATGCTACCACCCATAGCAGCGCGTTGTCTGGGAGAGCGTGTTTGGAGAGCTCCAGCGGGCTCAAATCCAGCGAAGACAAATATTTCTGTGTGCAACTTTGGAAAGTGCTATATGATATAAAACTCTCAGGAGGTTAAACATTGTCTAACTTCCTGCTTGCGTGTTGTCGGCCAACGACCACGTCGCTTGTGCATCAACGAACTTTGCAATGCTCTTCCTTCGTGGCGGTAGCAATGTTCACTCGCTGACCAAAATGCTATTGGCCGTCAATCCCACATTTATACTCTGCATAAAAGAGCCGCATCACGTCGCTGCGTAGCGTCGCCAGCCAAGTTTTTGTTTGAGGCGATTTCTTGCAAACTTAACCAGTCATTCCACGTGGAGAATTTGTCGAAAAATGCTCCGAGTGGATCGATGCTTTTGGTGTCACGTCTACTTTCCACCCCCTATCCACCATAGGCGTCCTGGGCGACAACGTTGCTCAACTTGATAAATGCCGTCAGCAAAAGGTCGTGCAGCAGCAACGTGGCCTCACGCCGAGGCTTTGGCAGCAATTTCGGTTGCACCACCACAATATGGGTATCGCCAGCGACCCCACGAATGCTCTAACCGCCTACTCGCCGAAATAGTTGGGCGCGGTGTCAGCATTTATAGGATGCAAAGCACATGCAACCGCTTTGGTGTGACCGAGAGTCTCTGACCTCCCGCCACTTGGCATAATGTGCACAAGGGTGAGCACCGTACCCGGCCCTGGAATTGATGTAGAGAGGATTTCGAACATTGAATCGTTTTCACATCACGTGGCACGGCTATATCTACCTTACACTGCTGCGCGTATTCAAAAGCGACTTATTGCGCTTGTAGTAGCCTCTCCAATGTTCAATTTCATATCTAAGATGGTCACTAGTCGTTGTGCGGCACCTTACCTCAAGAAACCACTAAAAACGCAATCGAACTGCACTGTCACCTTATCGCTCCGACGCAAACTGCAATTGAGCTTTCATTCCAATATGTCCCTTACCTCGTTAATGCGTACTAGTACTACGGGAAAAACGACTAGAAACTAGAGCTCTACTAGTACGAGCCTATCAACCCTACGGCTATCCCGTAGTATTATTTTATGAGAAGTTACAAACAGTTTATGCACTCATAAGTACAGCAGCTCGTAGTCACTGCCCTCCAGTTGCAGTTCGATCACCCTCGGAGTATTATTGTCTTGAGGCATGCCTCAACATAATCATAGCGTGCGTGACTTGTGACGAAGGTTAGCTGTGGCTAGGGTAACAAGGCCTTGCTCAGGGGCGTGAGTCGCTAGGTCCGTCATAACGGAGGCTAGCGATGTCATGCAGCATGCTGCCTTTCCGGTGGCACGATTAACCGAGAGGCGTGAATGCAACTTTGCCTCGCGAGCGATGTGAGAGGCCTATGACGGTAGCGTACCATACTGTGGGGTTTTCACAAGAATATTTTTGGTTCTCATCACTGGGCTCGGGGCAAGGCGTTGTGATTCATCGTTGTAGATCGTTCTACGGGAAGACCGTTGGGATGGGGCTGGACAGGAACCCGTGCCCAGGGCCCTAACAGTCAGTAGTTCTAGTTCACTTTCCTATTTGCATTCTAGTACGCATGCCGATGTTCAGGGAATACGCCCCCCTTCGTATGTGTTTGTGTTGATGGGCCGGTCACGGTCACAAAGCCGCAAGACCTGCGGTACTTGGCTCTCCCAAGCGTGGCGGCACGTCTGTGTTTGCCAAGATAAGAGCTAGAACGCAGTTCTCGGCAGAACCAGAAATGATTATTTTTCTCGTGCTTGGCGCTTTTCCTTCTAATGTTCGCTGAGCCTCTTGCGTCCTCGAAGCTCGCTACGTCTCCTCGGTCAATCTAGAGGCTGTCCTCTGCCGATGACTTCACGCCCGTACCTGGTTGATACGGCATACTCGGGTGTTTCCTTCTCTTGTTCGTGTTCTCATTGTGGAAAGGGAATGAACTCCCATCCCCTTGGTCCTTGTACTTCCTCTCCGGGCCGCATGCGTCCGTCCCGGCCTCGTACCAGTCGTCGTCGCCGAATGCCGCATTCATCCGGAGTTTGGTTCTAGTCACTTGTTGGCCGCTCGAGTGCTGTTGCCCGTCGCCGTGCACTGCGTCGCAGCTCTTGGCCTTCTGTCGTGGGTCTCGATAGTTGCACTCGTATTCAGAGGGTGCCTGACTAATGGGTGGCTTGTCTACGTCGTCTTGCTCGGTCGTGAGGTCTTCGGCCACCGCGTTTCTAATATCATCGTCCGCAAAATTTATGTCGCCGTCATGAGCCATCTGGAAGTAGCATGGTCCGAGGTAGAGCACTACACCGCCCGGTCTGACACCAGTGTTAGTTGATGTCCAAGTACTCCACCTCCGTCGTAGTGACTGGCACTTCGACAGCTTAAGCGTCAGCTCCCGCTCGTTGCAGTCGGCGCATGATGGACCATGTGGTTGGCGAATGGACCACACGAGTACACAATGAATGACAAGGGTTAGTCCAGTGGCCCTACGGCCACACTTTGAAGCGGTGATGGAGTCAGTGAAATGAAAAGCGTGTAATAAGATCGTATTTATAGGAGCGTAGTGTCTGGTAATGGGATAAGTAAAACAACATTAGAAGTAGTGGTACTGCCTGGTCGGTCTTGTCGAAGACCTCTTCGCAGACGATGATACTGGTCCACATCCGACTTCGAGTTGAGAGCCAAACTTTTGATGTTGTCACATGCTTTGACGCTTGACATCGCCACGTAGAGCTGTATATGTGCAAAAACTGGTTCCGGTAGATTGACGTTAACTCGAGGTACGGTCGGACCCTGCGACTTGTTTATAGTCATCGCAATTGCGAGACAGACTGGAAACTGTGGACACTTGAGCTGGAACGGCAGCGTGTTGTGCGGACCGTCGTTGATGAGCGGAATGCGAGGTATGAAAACGACCTCGCGCCAGTTGCAGCTGGTCAAAATCGTACGCAATGTGCGCACCATGAGTCGCGTTCCGTTATATAAACTACTGTTTGCGCTGCAGCATGACAGTGGCGTTGACATTGAGCTCGAGACAGTGTGGAGGACGCCAGCGATGTTAACGGAGTTGTGGAACTCAACTGGGTAGTAGATAGCAGTTTCTTGTAGCAGATCATCGTCGTCGTCGTTCGCTGTAGCAACTTGTACCTCGTCTTCGTGAGCTTCGACACAGTTGGCAGAAGTGTAAACGCGCTGATACCTCAGCTACTGGTACTTGCGCAAGTAGCATGGCTTTGATCGAAGCGACGACATCGCTTTTGGCGCCAAAATGGCACGGTGAGCAAGGTACGCTGACAGCGCATCTATAGAAATGGACGGAAGCTCAGGGCAAACAAATTGACGAAGTTGGTAAGTGCGAGCGTGGTGTGCCACCATTGATGACGATGCCACCAGGAAGTCAGATTTACTCGTCGCCGAAGCCGCCGTAGGCTGCCCGGTCGCGACCGTATGTACCGTTGCCGACGGATCGTAACAATGTCGAAACAGCGCATCGTATCCAAGTACGCGCATATTGGTGAGGACATGGGGAGTAGACACGACACCCCAAAATCGCTTCGCGTCAACCAAGCTTCGACCAATTCATCGCGTCAACCACGTGGAATGACCAGGGAATTTTGCTTAAAATCACCCTAGAAAAGGAGCTTGCCGCCAAAAAGTTGATGCGTCTCAGAGCAAGTATATCTGTGCATACGATCGACCGCGTCAATAGCGTCCTAGTGGATCATCGAGCACTCGGTGCTGCATGTGGCTGTCGATGCAAGGACGACGACGGAAGAATGCTCTTGATGCCAATGGAGCCAAGCGCGAGGTTGTACCGTCCCGCAATCGCGTCGGCGCAGTTCTGGTTTGTATCTTGACGCAAGTTTGGTTGGTTGGATTCGTGGTACTTAAGCCCGTTGTTCTCGATCTTGGCAAACTAGATCACCACGTAAGCATAGATCTGCTTGCCCTTGAAATTGAGCATTGTAATTTTGCGGCCGCCCGTCGTCTGAGCAATGGGTCCATCCAGGCTTTCTTTCCATGGGGAAAATGAACGTATAGCGCATCGTAGTGCTTGATAATTTCCTTGATTCACACAACGGCTTGTCGGGGTCGAGCGATCGATCAGCTCCGTGGAAGATGCCATTCCGCCGTGCTTGCGCGACAGCTGGAGCGGAGGTGGCACCTCTACCGCCTCGTTAAGCGAAGGCGCGTTGCGTGCGGACAAAATTATTGACCATTCTGTGCGATTGGAAGCTGTTCAGTTCATGAGAATTGCAATCCCGTCAGAGACTGATCTATTTAACGTCGCTCCTGTCTCTCTTCTTCTGGTTTTCGGAATCATATGGTTTTGTTAAATCCGATTGTTCGACCGGGTGGATAATTGACTGACTGGCTAGGGCGAGTACTCTAACCTTGTAAGGCTTTTGTGACTTACTTTACAAGATGCCGCCAGTTATGCAGGTGCCGACGTACGCTGTGAACCATGGACCTGAGTGTTCTCTTTACCGTTCATATTTTGATTTGTTGTTTACGTCCTTTATGATGACTGCATTTGGCTTTGATTTTATGTTTCCAAGTGCATATCTTACTTGCTCATGCCACGTTCCGCTTATGCAAACCATTGTTCTGTTTTCTATACAATAAGTATTTGCCCCCTGGACCAGCGGCGAAAGCATCCAAACTTATAACATCCAAACTTATGATATCCGAACTTATGAA